CTGCGAGTGCAAATTGGAATGCGGAAGATAAAAACTATACAGGTGCGTCAGAGACAAGGGATCAATGTGTGTAGAGGAGAAAAAAGGATCTTTTGCATGCCGATCAGCTCTGTAGAAGCTCCCGACCGGGTGTACTTGTATGGAAGAGGTACTCAAACACCTCGTGTTTATTCTCATGAGAAAAAGCAGTCTCCTCTAATTGACGACAAGTTAAATTCATTGCAACGGAGTTGGTGTAAACTTTAAACAGAGGAAGTTTTATCTTTCAGAACACGCGTTGCCGGTTTCGGAAAACCTTGGAGACTGGCAACCTAAGGATCAGACGCGATCCGCTCTCCTGAATCCATTCATCAGCAATGAGAATACGCTCGTTAGATACCTCCAGAAGCACTCATCGAGCATCGGTGGGAGCACAGATAGCACCCACCTTGAGGCCGCATATTTTATGCGTCCGGCCCTTGGAAAGCAAGGCAAGGCCAAAGAAAATTCCTAAGGATGAGGAACGTTGATATGACCAGTAATATAGATGTGATTACAGTGCGTCGTGCTTGCAATGTCTAAGCTAGTGTAACAGAATTACGCGTACCCTGGTAACAGGGGTGTGTGTCACACGAAGTGGGCATGGTGTGACTGCCCAAACAAGAATACGGTATGTGGCTAGATAGCCAGTAGTTATGCATGTGTTTAGATTTTACTATATATCTTTAGTATATTTAGGAAAATCTATACATTTAAAATTAGGCGGCTTTGCCGCAGATAAAATAAATAAACATCAGTTTTGGATTTTTAACGGAAGAGTAATTAGCCATGGGTCAAGGCAATCATTACTGTTGGAGTGAGCGGATTGCGATCTGCTAACTCGTGCTTGTTCTAAGTATAGAACAAAAGCTCGGTGACCTAAAACGCGCTTCCTATAAGTGGAATGCTTCGGCAGCCCAGCTGCACTTGGTAGCATAAGTTGTCAATCTACACCCGAGTGGTTTAGACTGATCCTCTATGAAGATGTAACGCTTTTCCTCTTTGTCCCAGAGCATGCAGAACGGGCTTAACAAGCTGATGTCCTTGCTTGGCCCTGAGGCCGTGCAACACATTGCGGCGCAAGGCCCCGAGGCAATCGGTGCGCGTCTAGATGCGTTTCCAAATTACGAAAACGTGCTGCATGAGCACCTTCAGCAGAAGATGTCTGTATCATTTGCGTCTATGACGCCACCGTTGGTGACGGATGATTTTCCTCGCCCTAAGCCGCTCGTGGTGAGCGTGAAGGTCTTTGAGGGAAGGATGGAGAGAATCTCCTGCTCTGGGTGAGAGAGGTCGAGATTGTCATCGCATCCGCCATGCTCCAGACCGAGCAACAGCGCGTAGCGCTTGCCACCTCAAAGCTCGGTGGTCGAGCGCGAGAATGGGCACTGACGTGCGGCACATCGGTTGAAGCTGCGTTTCCCTCCTGGGTGGAGCTGAAATTGCAGCTCTCAAGAGTGTTCTTGCCGCCTAATCAGGCATATCGCGCTTCCTTGCCGCCCGACAAGGCAACAAGGAATTGGTGGACTTTGTCCAAGAGATGCTCACTCTCATTGCCGGGACGGCAGCTGATCCCTCTCCCAAAACTCACAGTGACCGTCTCTATGGAAGGCCTTCACACTGGCGTGGCCAGAATGGAAGTCTTCCCTGTGCATCCATCTTCATTTGAAGAGGCAATGAATGTGGCATTGAATGTCGAATTCAATTTCAAGCCGGCACGGCTTGGTTGGAATGCAAACTCCAACAGCTCGTCGAGCGGGCCTATGTCCATGGATCTCAGCTATGCTGAGGACGAGGGAGTAGAGCTCTGAGCTGCCAGGCAGCACGCAAACATACGACGGTGTTTTGTTTGTGAAGACACCCGTCATCTTCGGAACGGTTGCCTCCTGCGCAAGGCGCGTCAAGGTTCTTTAAACATCGCCCCAATTTCTACAAGTCTGGTTCGTCGCGGGTAGCGACACCACCTAGTAGGCGCGGGGCAACCTACTGGGGAAGAACTGAGTCCTGTTGAGCGTCAGGGAGGTAGTGGTCAGCATGGCCCAGCCCCGAAGAGCTCCGTGCTCTTGAACACGAAACGTGTATGCACGCCGGGCTTGCTGGTCGTGAAGGCGACCGTATGGGCTTCGAGAAGCCATAGAAGATCCTCATCGATTCTGGGGCATCGGGCGATTATGCTCGACGCTTCACGATGGATGGATGTCAGCTGTATGTTGAGGCGCTGAGAGCGCGATTGGATGACAACGTCACTGTTCGCCTAGCGATGGGGACACGTGTCACGGTCCCGACGGTCCCTGTGGACCTCGGAATTAAGGTCTTTAATTTTGATAGCGTGGAACGCTCTCTAGTCTTAGACTTGGATGCAAGGTATGACCTCATCCTTGGAATGGCATGGTTGGAATACCATTAGCCATGGACTGATTGGAGGTCAAAGATCTCGGGCGCTACGCACACGTCTCTTGGTGGAGCTTTGGCGAGTCATGAACCCACCTCTGCTAGGAGACAAAAGCGCTATCGGCGAGAGCACTGAATCGAAACGGTCAACGTGCTGGACATTGGAACGTCCGAGTAAATAGACACCAACGCTGTATAGGACGGGAGTCCCGAGTGTTGCTCGCGGGCTGATCAAGGAGTGTACGTAACCCATGAGCGCTGTTCAAGTTTCGGAGCAGTCGCTGTATGTCATGCGTGACATGGTCGGCCAAGGACCGAGGCATCGAGAGCGAGGCCCCCGCGATGCGCGTGAAGTGGCAGAAGCACTTCTCTCGTTGCGAAGCAGTCGCGTCATGCCATGGATGGCGTGGTCGGACAGAGTCCGAGCCATCTTGGGCACAGTTCTTCAGATGCGCGTGGAGTGGCACGTTATACACTGGACGAAGACTACGGGAATAGCAACTCTTCGTCGGATGTTGTAGATAACATTGGAGCTTCAAAGGAGCGGGCAGTGAGGGTGACACCGGACGACGTGGAGCGAGTGTTAACCCGGTCTTACCGAGACAGAACTTCTTTACAGAGGCGACGGCGACGCCGTATGCTGGCTGCCAGACGCCGGGCGTTGACCCTGATCCAGAGTGTGTCTACCGTAGACAACGGTGCACAATTAAACACCCTCATCAACGGTATGACGAAGGAGGAAGATGGCGACGTCCGCCTCGAGGCTATGCCTGTAGTAGATGCTCTTCTTGAG